TTTCAAGCTCTGTTTCAGTTTCATACTCTAACTCAGCTGAACACCGGAAAAACTTAAATTTAGCTGAACAGCGAAAAAAAGCTTAAAATTTATTAACTTTGAAAAAGGGAAAAAATTCTTCAGTTCAACATTTCTCGGGATGGGGTGTTTGACAAAACAAGGTGGATAGCCTGGCGTTAGCCAGCGATCCGACTTTATATGAAAAGGAGGATGCCCGGCGTAGCCGGGCATTTCATAAGAAGGAGGAGAGCCCGGCGTTAGCTGGGCGATCCGACTGGTACAAAAATAAAACAGTAACCTCTAAGTTCGACCCGTACTCAGTTCTAACTCTCATGATATGGTGTTATTCCCATACTCGCTTTGCGTCAGCTCACTTCAAGCAGCTGTGCGAAAATGCGAGTGCGGGACACTTCCGTGTCGAATTGTAGTTAGACGGTCAGTAGGATCAGTCAGAGTTGGCGAGTTCCTCTAACTCACTCTTTTGCAGCGGCTCTTTACAGCTATTTCCATCAAAAATGATCAAAAACATGACTGGTTTGCTTGCGTTCAGAGCACTTCGAGCAAGAGTGTACAGTGAGTAGACTCGGCTTTCCCTTGGAGTATACCAGATGACTACTACGGCTCGAGAAGTGCTGCATCCTTTCTCTAAGCCATCGTCTCTACTGCGTGCATCAAGTGTCCGCTGATAATTTATTTCCTCGGGAGGACGCCCGTCACGGACCTATCGCGAGCAAAGGCAGTTCAAAGGGAAGTTATTACTAGAGGAATTCAAGACATAACATTCCTTTCATCAGATCTTCCGCGAACAGGTCTGACCATCGCGCTGGTTACACTACTGGTGTTCGTTTGATGTCCTGATGATCCAGCCAGTAACCGCCCTTTTATAACAGTCATCACAAAATTGCACGACGTGTTAGGCCTACGTCATCTTCAATCCCTTAACCACATCAAACACTGCATCGCCTATCTTCGTTGGTTGACGGCGATCGTAACTCCGGATTTTTTTATGCACATGCTTGTGTAAGGGGATTCGTAACATCGTTCCACAGCGCGTTCAATGACGTTACCAAGGCGCTCTTTCGAAACGATTGGATCGTCCAACAAACAACGGACTAGCTTCTGATGCAATCATTCATTACCGAACCCATCCACGATTGCAGGCTAGCTCATTTTTTGTCAAGCTCATGCTACTTGAGTTGAAGTTTCTCACCATCAGTGAACCAACACCCATTTGTCAGAGTGTCTATGGACTGAAATGGGTAGGAAGAAATGGCGTCTTAATAGGGATCAGATATCCAAGTGGTTGTTTCAGCTAAGCCAACCAAGCCTTCACTCTCCGGATTGGATGAGTGATACCAGATTTTTTGAGAGAGCAGAAGCGCAGTCTCGTACATTGGCTGGCTCTCGCATGTTATGGTAAAGGCTGAGTACGCGTCTACCTCGCTTCAATTCTGAATAAAAAGCGAATACATTTGGCGAGCAATAGCCTTATGATCAATACCCCTTACCCGTACCCATAAACGGTGTTGGGACATTTTTTAAGAAGTGATCGCCGCGTACTTTGATGACGTCTTCTTCTTATGCTTTCCTGGTTGCCGCACTGGCCGTTGTGAAAAACTGCCTCTTGTTTTCATCTGAATACTCGCTCATTACTTCATAGTGGCATTGTATCCTACTAATCACTTACCTCAGAAGCTGATAATGACGTGGTAAGCGTTGCTGTCTGGCCGCCTTTGGTTTTGGCAGATGATGATGCATGGGTAGTAATGCCGCTGTCAACATTCGAAGAATCTTTCGTAATCGGCGTGGGATCAATCGTTTTTTCTGTACTATCACAAGACCTTTCACCAGTGGTTGCTGCCGGTGAAGCGTCATCGCTTCTCAATGGTGATTCTACTTCAAGTCCATTAACACTTCTTTCAGCTCCCATCGTTGGTCCTACATCATCCTTCCCGGAACTTCTTCTTCTGAAACAAATGTCATCATCTGGTATGTTATTACAATTGAATGTTTAACAACATACTTTTCTTTATTTTCTTCATTACCATTACTGAAAAAACAACTTTCGATTTATACTTGATTTGTAAACTTTCCTCTTTACTGTCTCTAGCTGTGAACCTACCTATCCTTTTTCATTTCTGACGACATTTCAAACTTGCTTCTCTTTTCAAATTCCATTTTTTGAGTTTTCTCCTCTTGTGGTAATGATTCATTTTCTTCCTTCTTTATCTGTAACTTACACTATAGTAGTCTTTTTAATAGCGAATTTCAGAATAACAAGGCTGGGTAACTCAGCCTTCCATGCCAATCCTATTGCTTTCAAAAGTAATGATAGATGCCATGTTTTTCTCATAAGATTTCTTCCTGTACTGTGTAAGACTTGCATGGAGTGACTCACAAATTGGTACTCGAACTAGCTACTTAGTACGTTAAAAAAAAGCCGAGTCTCAACCCGGATAGTCTCTAATGAGCTGCTGAGGACCTTCGAGAGAGATATGGGTGGCTAGGCTGAGCAATTCGTCTACTGAGCGTATTCGGTCCAAAGTAGTTGGATGTCGTGACAAGACTCATTCGTTTCGTAAGCTACGGAATCGAAGGTTCCGCGTATGATGGAGAGCAAATATAAGAGTTAGAATTTTTCTTGAGTAACGAAATATATATCCTGTCTTTAAGTGTTGAAGCAGGCGGCTTGGAGCAATTCCGAGTTCAATGCTACTTTCGAGCATGAGCATAGTTCAGGAAAGGCTAGCGTGACCTAGTTCTTGCTGTAGATGTTGATAATCTCAAGAACCTTCCTGAAGACCGAGGCTATACCGGCTCTCAATCGGAGCTCGTTGAATCAACGCTGATATTAAAAAGATGATTTGAAAAGTTTTTCCAATGCCACTTGGACGGCTTGATCAGAGAGTTCCAAGGCGCAACTTTGCAGTCGGTCTCGCTCCGAACTTGATGCTGCGCAATTCCCAAGCAAGGAATAAGTAGATAACAGGATATGTCATAGAAATGACCTTCTTGTTGGCATATGGAAATGGTTTGATATGGTCGAATTACTGGGTAACCATTTCAATATCTCGAAAAACGACTGGACTGTCACTTCGTGTGTTACTCTTCGAATGAAGGCCCCACTTTCTGTGGCAATTCGGATTGCGGGCAAACTCCATGGTTTCCTCTTTTCATAGAAATCGATCCAACACTCACCAGGGAAGGATCCCAAGTCGAAGCGGCCATTTGGAATGAAACCTACACTGCTAGACGTGTTTTTGGATGCTGAGTTCAGATCTGCTTTCCAAATTTGCCGAGCGTTTCTCTGAACGGAGTTAGAGCATGCCTTCAGGGAGCTCAAAGGCACTGTTCACGAAAAAATGGTTTCGGAGATTTGCACATGGTTTGAATTCGACGCCCCTCTGATACCATTTGGGCAGGAATGAGGTCGAAAAACGGCTGGATAGGGCACAAAAAGGGGCCGGAGAGTTATCCATGGTCGCCCTCCGCCCCTCGCTAGGCTGACTACGAAATCTAATTGCCGTTCACCACTTTCGCATTGGAGCGAAGTTGGTGAAAAGTTGATGAGCTGATTGGCAAATTGCCAGAGACGCAATGTGTTGTCTGCTATTGCAGACAACACATTGTGTCGCCTTCGTGCACTCGCCCGAACACTCCCTAACCGCCGTTATTTCAGTGTGAAACTCGTCCAACCCCACTTTCCCAATGTGTTGTCTGCTATTGCAGATAACACATTGCGTCGCCTTCGTGCACTCGCCCGAACACTCCCTAACCGCCGTTATTTCAATGTGAAACTCGTCCAACCCCCCTTTCCAGCTCTTTTTTTGACCCTTTGTAATTCTTTTTGTTCATCGTTTTTTGCGCTATTTTCGTTGTTATCGCCTTATTCTAGAGCAGTTCTATCAATCCCCGTCAAAAAAGGGTACCCTAAATTTATTGCTAACGGTGCCTTCAACATGAGAAAACTTAAATAACATGGATGTTCCTAGCCCCTCAACGGGGGCTTGGTGTAGTGGTAAGCATGACGCTTGGGCATGGGCGAGAGGCTTGGGTTCGGGTTTTGTAGGAGACGGAATTTTTGCATTATATAGAATTTTTCCCTTAAGGACTAGAAAACACTCTTATGGTGAGACTATCACGTTTTATCCTTTTAATGTCTTTGCTGATACCTTCTCCTACCTACTTACCTGTTACCGTGTGGGAGATTCCTCCGTGCGCACAATTTGGAGGTCCGGGAGGGAAAATGCATATGATGAGCAATTATGATGCTAGAGTGGGTGTTGATTCTAGTTTGGGTGCGATGGTGCATAGCAGCTCCGGACTCACCAACACCGGCGCTGGTGATAGTGGACTCGAAGACCAGAAGGCTATCACCTTACCTCCACAAAAGCAGGTGAAGGGACTGACACCCTGCTCGAGGCTACCACGAGGCTAATACAGCCGACAGAAGCTCATTGTTTGCTTTTAAAAATGTTTAAACGCACCACCTCGTATGAAATAGCTCACGATCTCAACTTTTGCGTGTACACACGAGACCCCATTTTTTGCTCACCATCGCTTGTCCACTTTCAGTTCTGTTCGGCCAGATTCAGGAAATTTCTCATATATTCATGGAATGCCGCCGGCTATTTAAGCACTCACCCGGATGATTTTGCGAGGCCTACACAATTCTGTTCTCCATCTGATTTGGGGTTAGGAAGTGTAAAGCATTCTTCTGTGACGTCCAAACAAGTTTTTTTTCATCCGTTGCTCCCATTGTGAGAAGCTTCTTTGTTTCAGGTATTGCGTAGTAGAGTATCACATTTGTTCATTCAAGTGACAAAAGTATCCTACTCTGAATATAGAGTGCATGGGCATGCGAGTAAAACTGAAGTACTACTTTATGTGGATGAATATCAGTAAGAGTATTAAAAGTCATAAAACGTGATAATCTCACCACAAGAGTATTTTCTAGTCTCTAAAGGAAGAATTCTATATAATGCAAAAATGTCGTTCCCAATAAACTCGAACCCTAGCCTCTCGCCCATAATGCGTCACGCTTACCACTACACTAAGCCGGCGTTGATAGGAGAGGAACATCCAAGTAATTTAAGTTTTCTCATGTTATGCTCCCTGAAACCACCCTCATGACTCCGTTCAGAGAAACGCTCGGCAAATTTTCTAAAGCAGATTTGAACTCAGCAGCCAAAAACACGTCTAGCAGTGTAGGTCTCATTTCAAATGGCCACTTCGACTTGGGATCCTTCCCTGGCTAGTAGCACTTTTTGGTAGAGTCGTCTCCTTCATGTGAAAAGCCCCACAACCATTCTCATCAATCCTTATCAGTTGTTATATTTTTCCGTCACTATCCATTCAGTATACCGCCATTATTACCGCTCATTATTTATCCTTCGAGTGTGTCGCTGAAAATGATTGTGTGTCTGTGTATGTGTCTGTGTGTGTCTGTGTGTGTGTATGTGTGTATGTGCGTATGTGTATATGTGTGTATGTGTGTGTATGTATGTGTGTGTATGCGTGTGTATGTGTGTACCAGTCGGATCGCCCGGCTAACGCCAGGCTCTCCTCCTTCTTGTGTCAAACACCCTATCCCGAGAAATGTTAACTAAAGAATTTTTCCGTATTCCAAGTTTATAGTTTTTAAGTTTTCTCCACTGTTTAGCCGAGTTTGGGTTTTTNTTTTTCCGACTGTTTAGCTGAGTGAGGGAACTGGAACAGAGCTCGAAATCCCTCTCTGACACAACAGAAATCGAAAACTTCACTTCTCTTTGATGAGGTTGTAGTAATTCCAACTCTCCACTCCTTTTTTGAAGCAAATACCAACTTCTTGCACACGAAATTCGATACAGGACTAACCGGGCAGTGCAAATGGTATAGAGTTGAAGTCAGTGCATACGCCTTTGATTGGAATTCTCAAAGTTTTGCTGTCTTTCTTTGAAATAATACCCATCAAAAACCCAATTGTTAAACAATCAAAGATGATGCTATGGGGATCTTCTGAGTGACGATAGCACCGTTATCAGATGTTATTTATCAATGGGCCCTTTTCTTTACGGAGATATCATTAGTTGAGAATTCCAGATTACTGGTGGTCGATCAAGTTTTGTCGCAAATGATATCAAGCAAAGAGGATCCTTCATTGACTCACAAACCTTGCTAGGTAGCGGTCGTAATTTAATAGTAGGAAATGAACAAAGTTCTAATCTGCTTAGCATAGTGCCGTTAATGGGTCCCTATCATTCGTATTATTGAATGAAACATACTGAACAGCCAAGGCTACATCGTAAATACCGAAAGGATAGAATTTTGATCGGTAGGTGACCTCTCTTAGGTCCCTTATTTTCACTTATCAGTGATCAGTTCTTGTCACCGAGTACCTACGATCCCGTCCTATCCTACTTCACTTAATTAAATGCTGAGGTTCCACTGTCAGTACGAAGAGTGCAATCTACCAAATTCCAACGCTCTAGGTCCACGTAAACAGGAGTTATTGATTTGCGGCCCTGTTTTTATTGCGCACGCATCGCCCCTGTGCACGGAGTCCGGTCCTGCCACCCACCATAGGTGTCAGGTCCTGTCAACTGTGCTCCTACCAAGACTGAATGCTCCAGGTCCACGGGGACAGGAGTTATGATCTTGCTGCCTGAAATTTTCACCGCGCACACCTCGCCCCTTATAAACAGAGTCCGGTCCTGCCACTTACCAAAGGTGTTCTCATCCTGCCCCGCTTGCTCCTACCAAATTTGAGCGCTCTAGGTCCACGGGGACAGGAGTTATGAATTTGCGGCCCAGTTTTTATTGCGCACGCTCCGTCCCCTGTGCACGGAGTCCGGTCCTGCCACTTACCATGAGTGTTATGAGTGTTCTCCTCCTGCACCCCGTACTCCTACCAAGGTTGAATGCTCTGAGCCCACGGAGACAGGAGTTATGAATTTCCGGTCAGACACACACCGACACACACACTTAATCACACACACAATCACACCGACACACCAACAGACACACTTAGCGAATTAAATAAAGTATGATGGGTGTTACTGCTTATGGTACTTGCCCAGAGACGCAGGTGGATTCAGGGATGGACTCCATGACGAATATATCGCTCCTTCGGTTCTCCCTTCCGAAATACGACATGCCATCACGTCGATGAAGAACTTTACAGCGCCCGGTCCCGATAG